TGGTGAAACCCTATCTCTACTAAAACACAAAAATTAGCTGGGCATGGTGGCACTCACCTGTAATCCCAGCTACTCAGGAGGCTGAGGCAGGAGGATCACTTGAACCTGGGAGGCATAGGTTGTGGTGAGCCAAAATCATGCCACTGCACTCCAGTCTGGGTGACAGAGCAAGTCCGTCCCAAAAAAAAAAAAAAAAAAAAAAAGGAGAAAAAGAAAAAAAAGAAAGAAAAAGAAGCTGTCAGACAAGTTTCTAAGATTTCTAAGGTTGGAGCATGAGGAGAATCATTCACCAAAAATAGTAGAGTTCTTCCCAGAAAAAAGGGGACGGGTGTGAGGGAAAAGTAATTTCCACTTTTTTTGAAATATAGAAAATCGTTTTTCAAAGTAGTTGTACCATTTTACATTCCCACCAGCAGCATATGAGAGTTCCAGTTGCTCCATATCCTTGCCAGAACATGAAATGATCAGTCTTTTTAATTGTAGCCATTCTTAAACATGTGCAGTGATATCTTATTGTGGTTTCAATTTGTATTTCTCTAATTAATGATTTCCACATTTTTTCATGTACTTTTTGTTTTGCCATTTGTATTTTTTCTTTGGTGAAATGTCTGTTCAAATATTATCTAATTTAAGGTTTTTACTTACTTATTGCATTAATCCTGCTGTAATTTCATGGTCTATTTCTATTGGTTGATTTTTCTTTCTTTCTTTCTTTCTTTTTTTTTTCATGAAAGCCACTGACTTTATTGATCTAAAAAACTTTACAACGACAGTGACTGTTCTGCCAAAAAAGGAGCCAAATGGTATCAAACGGACTGAAAGTGAGGGTGGGGGTGAGGGATAGGGCCAGGAATCCATTCAGGAAAGCCAGTAACTGTCACCAGGGAACTGGCAAGGGAAAAAGGAAGAGGGAGGCATGCAAGAGCAAGAATCCAAAAAAGTTGAAATGGTTAGGGGAGAAAACTTCCAAAGACCGTGGAGTATGTCGGAGGCGGGTACGACAATAGCAGTCTTTTCCTTTGTAGCGGACAGGGGAGGAGACCCTACTCGGCTGCAAACTCTGGATGAGGCCTGGGGATTGAGAGCTTCCCAGAGAGCATCACAAGAAGGCGTCGCACCACTCTCGAAGGCATCCAAAGACTGCTTGGCGTTGGCACCACAAGTGTCCTTCAGCCATTCGCAGAAGAGGTCTTCATCTTTCTTTAGCACCAAAAACTGGCCAAGGACAACATAGGTCTTGTCAAAGCCCCTTTCCTCCAGCTTCTTGCCCAGGACTTCACCAATCCCAGCCAGGCTCCCCACTGGCTTTTCCCCCATGGGCTCTGACACGAAGTCTTGGTGCTTTTGGGAGGTTGTCATCTTGATCAGGCTTAATTGACAGCTTCAGTTCCCGTAACAGTGCCTACTGCCACCTGGCTGCTCCTGCCGATACCTCAAGCCACTCTCTATTGGTTGATTTTTCAGCCTCCTTACAAGTCATGTTCTTTGCATGCCTGATAATTTTTGTTTGCATGTTGGACATTGTAAATTTTACGTTACTGAGCGTTGGGTTTTGTTGTTTGTTTTGTAACTAATTTTGGACTTTTTTTCTGCGAGCACAGTTAAGTTACTTGAGATCAGTTTGATCCTTTTGAGGATTGCCTTTAAGTTTTGTTAAGGCAGGTCCAGATAAGTGTTTATTTTAAGGCTAATTTAGCCTCCCCTGCCTCATTAAGATGATACCCCTCTGTGGACTCTAGCCAGTGCTTTGTGTATAAAAGATCTCTGTTTTGGCTGGTATGAAGACAAATTACGCCCAGCCCTGTGTGAGCTCCAGGAATTGTTTGGCATATTGCTTTCTGGTAGTTCTTTCCATGGTCCCATAGAATTTCACCCAGGCATCCTCAGGACAGTATTCAGCTAATGAGTTGAAGTGACTGCTCTGCAGACCTCTGCTGTTCTCTCTCTAATCATCTCCCTCCACTCTTACATTCTGCTTCACAAATTCTAGCCACTTTGGCTTCCCTGGACTCTGATCTGTCTCCTGTATTCTGTGAAATTTCTGAGCTCTGTTTGGGTTCTCCATCCCTACAGCGATTCCTGGAAACTGCTTTGACATAGTAAGCTCAGACAATTGTAAAACACTTCATTTGTTTCTCTTCTTTTAGTTATCACAGTCGAGTGCTGTCTGTTGTTCAATGCTTAGAAACAGTTGCTTCTTTTTTTTATCCTGTTTTTCTAGTTGTTTGCAATGGGAGGACAATTCCCATGGCAGCCAATGCTTCATAGATGAAAGTGGAATTCTCTTTTTTCTATTTTCAACTTTAAAAATCCCAAGGGAGATCATTGGCCCAGTTTCTGTTTGGTGACAACCCATAAATCAATCAAATTAGTAATCCCAGCACTTTGGGAGGCTGAGGCAGGCAGATCATGAGGTCAGGAGCTCGAGACCAGCCTGGCCAATATGGTGAAACTCTGTCTCTACTAAAAACACAAAAATTAGCTGGGCGTGATGGTGCGCACCTGTAGTCCTAGCTACTCGGGAGGCTGAGGCAGAAGAATCACTAGAACCTAGGAGGCAGAGGTTGCAGTGAGCTAAGACCATGCCACCACACTCCAGCCTGGGCAACAGAGTGAGACTATGTTAAAAAAAAAAAAAAAAAAAAAGCAGTTCCTATGAAAAAGAACTTGAAGTCCAGCAACTGATAGAGCTGTAAGAGTTCCATTGTCTAGAAGGTGGAGTCCATTCCTTGGCCTCATGTTTTCCAGGGCCAAGGACAAATAAGAGGAGGTCCAGGATGGAGAGATATAATAAGTGTAACAGTTACACTGAAAGGGACAGAATGCAGTAAAAAAAAAGCAACTTTATTTTCTTCCTTCTTTCCCCTCCTCTGCCCACCCAGTTCTGCTCTATGGACAAGTTCTTTCCCATCCCTTGTGAGAAATGTGAGGTTGGTGTCACTAGTTTTCTGGTCCTCTTCAGCTAACAAAAAGACCTCCAGCTATTTTAATCCCATGAATAGTTTCATTTTCGTAATTAAAATGCTCAGTTCTGTGCCAGTAGTCAAATCTGAGAATTCCACTTACAGGGAGTAGGGAGTCAGCATGTGGTCAGCTTCTCCTTTATTTCCCACCAACAGGATCTCTTTGAACCAAAATAGTCCATCCCCTCAACCACTCCCCACCCCCAAGATGGCTAACAGCCTTTCTGACCCAGGAGTATGGGTGAGGGGTATGGATGGAGGGGGAGCAAGGTCTCTGCCTAGTGAGTATAGAAAGCTTTTCCCTGTGGAACATTGTTTTACCCGCTTAACCTTATGTTGAATGAGTTATGGTGGGGCCAGACACAGATCAAGAGAGAGAAACTGGAAAGAGTTTTAGGGCTTTTTATACTTACAGCTTCCTGGAGAGTCCACGAATGCAGGACTACTCAGGGCCAGAGTCTGTCACAGAGAGAGAAAGAGAGGGGTATTGTGGACAAACAGCTTTATCATGGTTTTTAAGGGAAGGAAAGGGCGAAATAAGGCAAGCAGTTATAGGATTGGCTAATTTGGATAATTTCAGTGGTCTCTGAAGCGCAGGGGCTGTCACTAGTTGTTTGGTGCCTGGCCCTGGGGCAATTAGGGCAGGTGTACAGTGTTCTAAGTGTGAGAGCCTGCTGAGAGAAGTGGTTGGGGGTGTACGGTTAATAGCCTGCTAGAGAAGGGGAATTGACCAGCCTCCAGCCAGAGCCTCAAAACTGGATCAAGGCAGCATGAAAAAACTGCTACATTACAGCTATTTTATGGGTTCTTTGGAGACCTGAGACATGAGAGCATGTCTCAACTGCAGTCCCTTTGTTATCTGTGAAGTCTTTCTTCTGCCTATATCAGGCACCCGCATGCACAGATTCTGCTACATCTGAGGGCACTAAGCTGTCTCCTGTGCTTCTCACATCTAACACTGAATTATACATGACACGATCATCAGCAAAGGATAGGGTGCTGAGAGCACCATGCAGAACCTAAGCTATTGGAGGGTGGGAAAAGCAACAGCAGAGGCGAGGAGTAGAGGACAAAGCGTTTCCAGTGCATCAGAATAATGTACTCTCTGGGGCTGGGACTAGGGTGAGCAGAGTGAGGCACTCAGTGAGGGTGCAACATTTAAGAGGTGCCATAAAATTCAGCAATTAAGATACGTAATAGTTAATAAGGTATTTTTTAAAATACATAAAAATGTTTATATAGGGTGCACAAGTTCCCTTTTGCTTAAGACTTCAACGTGGCTCAGCGGGGAGCTGGGGCTATGCAATCGCAGCTTCTAGCTCTCCCCTTAGGATCCGGAGCAGCCGCCAAGGAAAGGCCTTCCCTAGGAAGAAATAGCCCTTCAGCCCAACCTTGAAGAAGGAGCTGAATCAAACCAAGGCAGGGCAATGAGGCGCATGGCGTGTACGGACAGGGAAGAAGAAACCGCAAATACATGAATCCAAGATGCCTGGAGTGAAAACAGCTAGAGGACTATTTGGGGGAATGGTCTTGGCAACGCCGTTCTAGGCAGGTACCACGATCATATAGAGACTCTGTAGAATTGTAATTAGGAAGGCAAGTGCCCACGTTTGTTTCTCATGCAGATAATGCTGAGCAGGGGACAGACTGAAGAGGTCGGGTCTGGATCCAGGTAAACCCTTTATGAGGCTAGCGCACTATCTGAATGAGGGGTGACAGCCTCTCACCTAGACAGGTGCAGACAGATTCCCGAGGTCCAGGTTCGGACCTCAGTTTCTCCACTGGAAAGCTGAGGGTGGGCTGGCACCCGGGTCCCTGCCCGCCAACGGGGCCGCCGCAGGGTTTCCTAGGCGGGGCGGGTGCCCCTGGGCACGCGCAGGATCCGCCCGCCTTCAGCCAGGGGCCCGGGCGAGCGGGGCGGGGCGGGCCCGCTGGTGCCCTGACCCGCTCGTCGCCCAATCGCCGCGGGCCCGCCGAGCCCCGGGGGGCTGGGGCCGCCGCCGCCGCCGCCAGAACGTGCCGCGGCTGCGCCAACGCGCGAACGCCGGGCAGGGCGGCGGGCGCGCTCAGTCTGGCGGCGGCGGCCGTGCGCGGACGGACGTGCCAGGAGCGCCGCAGCCGCCCGCGCCCCCCGCAGCAGAGCAGAGCCGCGCCGCTCAGGCCGCGCCCGCCCGCCCGCCATGGTGTCATGGATCATCTCCAGGCTGGTGGTGTAAGTGCCCTTCTCCCCGGTGCCCCTCCGTTGCCTCCCTCCCCGCCCCCGACCCCGGGCTGCGCGCGCCCCTGCAGCACCCGGCCCCAGTGGCTCGGGCTATTAATACCCGGTGCCGCTAAATTTAGCAGGTACAGTAGCCTCCGAGGACGCCTGCGGGCGGGCAGCGCAGGACGCGGCTGTAGCCGGCAGGCAGCCGGCGCCGGCGGCCGGTTGCGGGGGAATGGGCCGGGGCGGCGAGGGCTGGGGCGCGCGGGGGCTCCGTGGGGGCTGCGTCTCGCCGCGCCCCGGCCGCTTTGTTCCCCTGGTCAGTCGATTTGCAGAGAGGCCCTGAATGGGCGCGCCGCGAGGACACGCGTCTCTCTCCTCTGGGAGAAATGTGCGGTCGGTCGCCCTCACCGCGCCCCGTTGCCCGGCTTTTGTGAGGTGGAAAGGACAGCCCAGGCGAGCCAGGGGCGCTGCCTGGAGGGTCAGCGCAGAACGGGTGGAGAGACAGAGGCGGGGCTCCCAGTGGGGTTGGACAAATCCTCCTTTTAAGGTGTCTTACATCGACAGTGACAAAGACAGGTGGGACATGGGAGGACGCATGTGAATCTTGGAGTAGGCGCCTGGTGCCCCCGGCTACGACTCCGACTCCTTTTGCAGAGGTTTGAGAGACAGGGGCAGGTACCTCCGGTAGTGCACGGGAAATTTCCAAGTGACAGCCGCCCGGATGGTGGCAATGACACCTCCCAGGCCTTGCAGGAGAGCGCAGAGTCATCTGGGGTGAGGTCTGTGTGAAGTCATTGGGGGTGGGTGTGGGGGCCGATTTTCTTCTTCAAGCCCCAGGACCGGTAGGCGTTTGAAGAGCTTCCCCGGTGACTTTATTCTCCTTTGGAGATAGACGTGGCTGTTCCAGTCCAAGCTTCTTCCCTGACTGTCCTGGCTTGAGTCAGAATAGATTTGCGAGCCGGGGCTGAAATGGGTGTGGGGAGTCTAAGGCGGGGAGGAGGGTGGCAGGCACCTCTGGCTTTTTCTTTGTCTGAGAAAGCGGGGCTCTGGACCCCAGTGACTGTACACCATCACTCCCCAGGTTTTGAAACACCTCCCATCTCCCTTCCCTTCTTTACTGATTTTCCCTTCTGAAGTGGATGTCGGCATTGTCTCCCACCACCATTCTGGGCTTTCCTCCCAAAGACAGTGTCTGAGCCTCTCAGCCCCCAAGTCACTCGTGAAGGCCTCTCCGTAGCTGTTTCTGACTGCAGTGGGTTTGCACTGCACCTTGAGGTGGCAAGTTAAATATTTAGAAGATTTCTGCCAGCAGAGCCCACATGAATAATATAGGGAAGTGGCTGACACGCCTTGCCCTGCCTCATGCCTGTCCAGTGCTGTCTAGCTTTCAGGTGGTGGTTTCTCTCTGAGATTGGTATTGCCAGTGGATTCTGGAGAGCCTTCAGGGTGGGGCTCAACAGTTGAGTTGGCCTGGTTGGTGGGCTCACTGTAGGTCCTGCTGGCTGGGAGTGAGGCCCTCTGGTCCTGGATCATGTAACTGTCATTGGTTTTATTAGCACCTCCCTCCCCCTTTTTTACAATGGGCAGCTGATGGGGGTGGAGAGGAGGGGCATATATTTGGGAGGTGTCTGTTGCTTTCTAAAACAACCACATTTCCCAGAACCAAGACTTCAGAGAATTTAAATGCTCAGCATTCTGTGGCCCAAGGAGAGTTGTTGGGATTTGGAATTGTTATTTCCACCATCAAGTCCAAAAGGTCATGGACATCACCTATCCCCCAGTCCCTAATTCCCTGTAGAAACGCAGCATGAGCACGTTGATGCATATGCATTATGATTGTGCATTTTTCATAAGCAATACCTGTTCCACGAAGACAATATATGTTCATTACAGGAAAATTAGAAAAGATAAACAGACTGAAAATCATCCACATTCCCACCACACAGAGATAACTAATAATAATTGTGGAGGATATATTCTTCAAGAAATTTTCCCATATGTGTATTTGTTCATTTATTTATAATTCAAGGACATTATGGATTCAGCCCAATATTCTACACTCCACATACCTTGAGTAACTTAATAAGAGGAGGAATGCTTTGTTTGGAATCAGAACACCCGTGATTCAAATCCCAGTTTTGCCTCTTGCCAGAAGATCCCAGTTCACAACTCAGATCACAGAAGACGCTAGTCCACGGCTAGTTAGCCTCATGTTGCTGTTGCAAAGATTTCCATGACACTTGATATGTAAAGTACCAAGCACCACGGAGAGCACTAAATCAATGATGAGTCCCTCCTTCTGTCTTCCCTGGAAACCTTATGAAAGGTTATCAGGGCTCTCAGACTTAATTTACTCCTGCGGTTTTCAAACTGGGTTTCCTGAGGGCCACCCAGACTGAGCAGATGGGCTCTGGGCTCCTCATCCCCAATTCAACCCAAGCAGTTCCCTTTTTGTTTGTCTTATATATTGCGGTTCTAGATAAAACATAATTAAGAAAAATATATGTGTTTTACTGCTAATAAAATCCACTGATCTAGTCCTCCCCCGACAACTGTAAAACTGCAGAGGAAATTTCCCATGCCAAGGACACAAGATGAGCTGGTAAAGAAAACAGGGTCCAGATTTTTAGTCCAGTCCAGTGCTTTTTCCACCTTCACTCCCCACTGCCAGTTGACAAATGGATCTCTTTCAAGCTCCCTAGACCTCTGATATGGGAGCATCCTATGGTTTTGTCCACAAGTCGTGTTTTGTGTAAGCAATCTTTTCATGGTTTTGTAAGCCTTTGTCACATCAAAGACCATGTAAGGAAGACCTATCACTGAGCTCTGAGGATAGAGAGGGAGTGTCTTCCTGTCTTTGTGTGGTCCCAATCATCCAACCAGAGGTATCACGACAAGCTGATGGCCTCCAGGGACAGACAGCCAGTGCTTGTGGATGTCTCTGTTGCTACTGGCTGTAAGCATTTCGAAGACAGTAATTGTAGCTTTTTTCCCTTTCAAACCCCTTTTCCCCTGCCATGAGTCTTTCTCGAAGTACCTGGCACCTGAGTGCACTGAGTGAAGGTTGGTTGTGTTGAAGGAAATCCCAGGCCCTGGGGACAAGCAGAGTAGCTGGCCAGCGCTGGGGACAGAGGGCAGCAGGCATGAGGATTCTGCCCACTGGGCAAGGCTCTTAGAGTGAGGACCAGTTTGAGAAGCTTCTTTCTTGCCTGCTGTCTTTCTCCTACTTTCTTGGCTCAGCCTGTAAAGAATTAAGGTAGAGATACTCAGTGCAATAGCACTCAGAACCTGGTTGATACCTTCATGGCACACAGGGGCTCGTTTAGGACTTGCCTGCTTGCCTCCTTTTGTTTTCTTTACAGACATCTCAAGGCCTAGGTATGAATGAATTTTAAACTGAGGAGAGCGTGTTTTTGTGCACCCTGATAGTGGGGGACAGTGATGTTGCTCGGTGACTTCTTGGAAGAATATTCCACTTTGAAGCATTATTCTAAGGAGCAGGTCTTGCCTCATTGTCTTGAGGCAATGAGGACCTCAAGGTCCAGAATGTTGGCTGAATGGATTTAGAGCTTCCCACCCCTTATGGGATTAGTAGAGTAAAACCCCAATTCACAGCATGGGGAAAAGAGTCCTAAGTCGACAAAATTTTCTGAACAACTAATGGCAGGAAACATTTTATTTCCACATTGTACAATTTTTAAAATATTAGTTTTTAGAAAATACAATGTGATGATCAAGACAAGGTCTTGGTTTGATGGCTAAAGATCTGGCTAAGTTCCAGGACTGGGATTTGGAGCATGAAGTCTGTCCTGGATCAGGGACATGAAAATGGTTGGGACTGGAAGGAATGTCGATTGTCCTCAAGATGTTCCCCCACTGTTGCAAAACAAATGGAAAAAAAAGAAAAGATCATAAATCCTTAAATATACGCTAGCCTTTCTATGGGGCCTGCTTTTAAAATGTGGCATGCAGGAAACTGATTCAGTTAATGGAGGGTTCCAGTTGGTTGAGGGATGATTTCCTGGCACCATGCTGTAGTACACTGTGGGAACTGGGTAAATGTTTCAGTTGAATTGTGAAAAGAAAGATGTTAGGCTGGAAGGCAAAAGACATGTGTTCTAGTCCCAGTGCTGGTCTGACCCACTGTCACAGTCCTAAGGGCAACTCCCACCCACCCTGGGGCCAGCTCCCTGTCTAAGAGACAAGATTTTGGGCCACAGTCACCATGGAGGTTCTAAGAGCTCCAAGAGTCAGTGTTCCTCTAGGTCTCTTCCTTCCCCAGCTGGCCTGTATGCATCACATTTATTTATAAACAGGAGGAGTATCCTCAAGGAAGTGAAAAATACCAGCTTAGATTTCTCTGCTGTTGAGCTGCCCTGTTTCTTTGTTTAGGAATCCTGCCTGCCTGCTGAGAAGCAGCTTTTCTGCACTTCTTCCCACTGTGTCTTATTTCAGGTTAGCTGACAAGTGAGGGTCCAACTTGGTTATTACTGGGTCAGTCTCCCCGCTTCCTTCTGAAGCCAGCTATCTTTTTTGGAGGGTGTATTATGTCGGGGGAGGAGGAGCCCTGTAGAGAATGAGGGAAGAGGGAGTCAGGCCCTCTTTGGCCACTTAGTGGGGCTGCCATTTTGTGTGTGTGCAAGTGTGTATGAATGTGTACGTGTTTCCAGGAAAGTTTGGGAGGCTGGGGAAAGGGGAGACATGGCAGTGCAGCGGCCATAGCATGTGGGACCTTTGGAATTTCACTGCCAGGGATGAGCCACACACATGCCCAGCTGGTTACCAGAATTCTTAGTCTGGGGGAGTTTTCTCAGCCCCCAAAAAGAAGTAAGGGGGGGTACACTTGGGCACTAAGGATGTTCTCCTCTTGATTCTGAGCCTTGGGAGGGGAATTGGGATTCTTAAGGAATTAGAAGTTGGATCATTATTTTCAGAGTATTTATTCTGAATTTTCAGATCTCATCTGTCTTTATACAGAAGCACATTATTTTCACTTTGGGTTTTTTAAG